ACCCTGAGCTGTTATTAGCTGCTGGTTCCGGCTGGTCTGGAGGCAGGAGAGGACGTGTCTTCCTCTTCCCCTGCAAGGAGTGGCTGGGGCTGGGTCAGAGCAACCCCCCAAAACTTCCCCCAGCTGCAGGAAGCTCAGCATACTCCCATGCTTCCTGCCCCCATCGCTCCTCAGATGTGGTGGGAGGGGTCACTGTACGGGGAGCTGCTCCCCATCCACCCCACCCCCGTGCATCTGGACCTCTCTTACCCAGACACCCCTGCCAAGCCTCACCCGGTACATCCAGAACCCTCAAGCCCTCCAGACCTGAACCTCACCCCTGCATCTGGAGCCCTCCTGCAACCAGACCCCCTGCCTCCGAACCCCCACCCCTGCAGCCAGACTGCCCCCCCACTGAGCCCCCGCACTAAAACCCCCACCCTGATGCCCCACCCCGTGCACTACCCTGAGCCCCCACATCCAGACCCCCATGCCACTGACCTTCAATTAGCTGCACCCCGACCCCCACCCCACCAAGCCCCACTCCCCCATCACCCACACTCAGCCCCACCACCTTCACCTGGAAGTCCCTGCAAAGTCCCATTTCCCCTGCACCTAGAACTGCCCCCAGTGAACCTCTGTGCATCCAGATCCTCCCACACCTAAACCCCTGCGCTGAGCTGCCTGCACCCAGATTGTCCCACACAGAATCCTCTCACCCCACACCCGGATCCCTCCACACTGAGCCCCTCTACACATGGATCCTGCCTGCCCCACACCTGGTGCACCTGGCGCAGAGGGGCAGGGCCCCAGGGTGTTTCTGGGGCAAGCCCAGGCCTTGTGCTGTGCCAGGGTTGGGTGCCACCTCACCGCTGAGTCTGTGTCCTGGGGGGGAGCAGGGTGATCTCCCACCTTTGTGCAGCCAGTGGCCTGTGCTCCCCACTGCCATGCTGGAGCCTCCTCATTTATTTATTGGATTTTAATGGCATAGAATTAATCAACTCTTTATAAGAACTGTTCTAGACCTCAAACTATTTAAATCCTACTTCATAATTCCAGTCAGCCCAAGAGGTTTAACACTTAGGATCAGATCAGCAGATCTGAGGGGGCCATGCTCATAATTGGCACAGTGGAGAGGATGATGGTTTTAAAGTAATCTTTCTATCTCCCCTGATCCTGGGTCCAGGAGGTTCTGGAATAAACCCCAGTAACTCTACAGAATCATTTAGGCTGCTCAAAATTATGCTGGCTGTGGCTGTCATAGGGACTGATGTACTGGCCAAGGGATATGAGCTCTGGCCCTCCTCATAGCTTGCCTCTGTCCACACCCCTCATACAGAGAAAATGAGGAAATGGATGGTGTAAAGCCAACATAGCCGGCTCTATATTGTCTGAGGATTCTCCTACAGCAGGGAGAATCCTTGACTGTCTGTTTAGTGCAGCTTTCCAGCCCCTTTGTGCTGCATGCAAAACAGCTGGATTAGGGGCTGAGGATCAAGCCCTTAGAATTTTAATTTCTGTGCATGTCCCATGGCATGATAAATGGGCAGAATTGTCCATGTCAATTTGTATTGAGGTAGTTGAATTTTGACCTAACAAATATTTATTGTCAGAAACATTATTCATATTTCCCCCCTAGCACAAACACATGTTTAATTACTGAGGTTACATTTAATTTTATTTAAATAAACACTTGCCTGGAATCTCTACTTCTGAATGAAAAAGGAATGTAAATGTTTGGTATCTCCAAGGGTTACCAGCCTGGGTCATTCTGGTATATTTTAGGGCCAAATTTTGCTTTCAGATACAAGCACACAACTTCAACTCTAGTCAATGTGAGTTGTGCAAATCCATCTGAGATACTGGCCATATGAGAGTTTTTCTCTCCTTGGGGAGCCATCAATCAAGCCAGAGGCAGCTGTGGTCTCCTTTGATTTCCATATCTTTACTTCAAAGCCTGCCAGGACATCTTCCTCAATTCTACAGGCTGTCAGCTGGTTTGCCAAAAGCCAGCTGCTCTCCAGCATTGGGGAAGCCAGAATGTACTAAAAAAGAACATAGGAAAGCTTTCGAAGCCCAATCAACAATGGAAGAGGAGACTATTTCCAGACTGCAGTGATGAGGAGCCATCCCCAAGAACAAGACAACTGCAGAGAGCACATTCAATTTCGGCCAGCTGGGAGCTTTTGTTAACTATAGTCGGACTATAACTAAAAATGCTCTTTTCTGGAGACTCCGTTGCCACCACTGGTAACCAATGAGTTAGATGTAGCAATAACTGGAAAAGCAATAGCAGAAAGAATTGCACTTATCTTTTGTCCCTGAATCTGAAAGTGCTTTAACTCATAGAACAAAGGAAGCAGGAGACTGAAATTGCAGTGTTCAGAGAAAGAGATGTCATTGAGTTAAGTGCATTGCTGCATCTTTTTAACATTTCCTTTATTCCCACCATAACATGCTTCAGACGAGAATTAAACTTCTTGCCAAGGACAAAGGGCAGCAAGAAGACTAAAAGAGCTGTCTGGAGAAGGCAATCAGGCACAATCTGCCCTTGCTGGGTTGACTGTTCCAGAGAAGGAGTCTGCATTAATGGCTATGGAGCTTCAGAAATAAATACCGTTTCATGTATTTTGACAACTGTAACTTAAAACTTGAAGTTCTGTGTTTATATTGGTTTTGCTTAATAGAAGAAAGATTTGCCTTTGCCTGAGGTTAATACTGTTCCTGGGTGGCTAAAGACGGCCACAAGGAAACACACCCTTTTTCTTTTTCACATTAATAAAGCTTTTAACATGTTTCTGGCAAATTGGCAAGAGAAGTGCATGTAACTCATGATTTGTGATTTAAATGCAATCATGAACAAATAAATGCCTGTTCAGATCTTATTATTTATGGACTGAACCTGTTTTAAGACAAAATTACTCTTTTTTTGGGCCTCAGCCAACCATAAACACTTATTAAGTCTTATTTTAATCATAAGCCACAAAAGTTCTCACTCTGTCTCACACAGTCCTGCCTATCTGGAGGTACTATACATTATAGGAACTTCTGTGAATTTAACAGGTCTAATGTAAAGGCTCATACACAAAGAGTGGAACTTTTTTACATTGGAGGACAGCAAATCATTATCAGTTTGCAGGGCCCATGCACACAAATGCAAATAAGACAAAGATGAATTGTAAGAAAGGGGGTAAAAAACTTTCCTCGTGTGGATTAGTTGATTTTTTCATTCTTCATTGAGAGACAGAGAGAAAATATATGTATATAAGGACCAACGCCCCTCCTCCCCCAAACAGCAGAATATGTTCCTTTCAGATTTAAGATGAAGTTTTTGCTCTGTAGTACTTTGCTCTTATTGAACAAATATGGGACAACCTTACAAGAGCCTTGCTTACAGGCTTAGGGCTTGCTCCTGCAAGGTGCTGAACATTCTGGCCTTAATCCAGCAAAGCACTAAAATATGTGCATTACTTTAAAAGAATAATTAAAAAAAAATCCATATTTTCTTGCTATCTGGGCACCATTTATTATTTTTACCTCATATATATGTGCCTTGAAACCCAGAAAATCAATTGTCCTTTGATGCCTATTTGTCATGTTTAGCAACACTTTTTGTTATTATCTATATATGAAATTATATGCCATTTTCTCTGTATTTCATTTTTTTTTGGTATTCTAATGTCATATGTCTGGATGAGGATGTATTTTAATATTTATTTGTTTACTACCCTCAAAAATAGAGATATAGATATGACTTTTGCATGCCAAACAAAATAAAAACGAATAAAAGATTTCTACAATATAACATTAAAATAGACACTATACAACACAAAAGTTGTATCACCCAACTTAAGGTTACTTTTAAAAAAGGTTTTGACTAATTTAGTGCTCACTAGAGATCAGAGTACAAAAGTCCAGAACAAGTACACCGGGGCAGTGGCAGTGCAAACTACTGCACAATGTCCTCTCAACCCTGTTTTGAAGGGATCCCCTCTATAGAGGAGGGGTTCAACTTCCATGTCCATTCAGACCTTGGCCTCCCTACTGACACTACTAAGAAACCTGTCAAATAATGGCAGTTGTGGTAATTGGTTTGAGACATGGATGTGTGTCCAGTAGAAACTGGATTGAGACCGTCAAATCATGGCACACAGACTTCACTAAACATCCATCAGCTAGTGATAACTTTCAACTATTTCCAACTTGGTCTTAGTAAAACCATTAACATAGGGGTGGAAAGACTATTTATCGCATTACCAATCGCCTCAGCCATCCAAATCGCCCATTATAATACTACTTTAATTTCAGATGAAAGAACAGTATCTCAATATGATGAACTATTTGAACATTAAAGTTAGCCAGCAGATCACTAATTCCTCCTTACTCAGATAGCTGTATTAACAAAAAGTTTTCAAAACTCCTGCATATATAGGATCATCAACTGCAAATATTTAAATGTCAGATAAAACCAGGATAGAAGCTTTGTTATTAGAGCAAGATTTATGGTTCAATCATATCCCTGGCAGGTCCAATTAGTAGCCACAAAGGGCTCCTTGTGTCTCTTCTCTAACAGATTAGTCTGAAAAGGGGAAACCTCATCCATGTCAGATAATTTAAGGAACAAAGCAAAGGAACAAAGCATGCTAAATGTTTTCCCCCTCCAAGCAACAGAAGGGAACAGATTTCCTACCTCATCTAGGTCTTTTCCTGGCATGGCCATTAGCCAATGTCCCTGTGCCACCTTCAGCAGTGAACATTTGCAGAATCCCACGTTCTCAGTGAAAACAGAATCTGTCACTGTGTTCCTTCCTTCTGCCAAATCCCAGAGGCAGATCTTTTGGTTACGACCCTGGCTTTTACAATTAAAAAATATATACATTGTATATGATCATTTACAAATGAGTGTTTTTGCAATAATAACAACATATAAGTTATAATAATTCAAACATAATTATGAAGGTCAGAATCACAAACATTAAAAAAAAGCTCATATAACACAGTTTCTCCCAGAAATGAAATAAAAACTTCTTACATGTGTCATCAAACGAACTAAGCAAATAGTAATGACTATACGGACCATGTAAAAGAAGGGCAAAACAAAACAAAACAAACCCCCACCATTTACTAGATAAGGCAACCTAGACAAAGATAATACATGCAAAGAGGTAAAAACTATGTCAAAAGATTCTAGGAATATTGTATATCCATGGAGAGTTAATGGGAGAGAAACAAACCAGTAAAATGATGAGTAACAAGGGTTAACAAATTGGAGCCATAAGGTTGAAATATTCCACGATGTGGTGGGCCAAAACCAAAATCATGGATCTGCTGATGGAAAGGATGCACAGAAGTCACACCTTCTGGGTACTACAGACAGGGGCTCTGTGCTGGTCTCACATACTCAGACACAGAAAGTCACAATGGAGGGGAAGGAATTAATAGTTCCATAGTTATGTGAAGCCAGTTGCCCTATTACACTACACTAGTGGTGCACAGAAGGTGTGGTTGTTATTCCAGTCCAAAAGCTAAAACAGCACAGTATCTTGGCCCGGGATAGAGGGGATACATTTCCCCTCCCCTACCTTCTGCACTCCAGAGGTATAAACCATGAATATTCAAAGCTTTATGCAGATAGAATGGATTTAACCCTAGGAAGTGGATCTAGACCATTCTCATCTAACACAGGTCACCAAACCACTGTCAGATGGAAATAACTATCACTCTCTATTGATGTGGAGTAGTTTGAAAATGAAGCTCCATATTCCATTATCAATATCCTGAACACCTCAGTTTCCCACAAATCAAATCTTCACATCGTTTTTAAAGATGGAACATACATAGTCAATAAGTAAGAGCAACCACTTAGTTTATTTCAGGGTCAAGTTACAAGCAATTGCAGGTGTTGACAACAAATATTGGGCATGCAAGCCTGAAACAATGAATTCATTAAATATACTCTATAAGTATCCAAGTAGTTACAGTATCTGCCCTCAAGTTATCTGAGATAAGAAGCTCCCCCACGTCTCTCTTGCATACATTAAATTATACAAATTCAACTATTTCTTACTAACAATAATTCTTACTAACAATTTTCTCACTTGACAGACGCATTAAGCAAAACAGTGTCATGTACAGTAACTCCCTGATTTTATGAACATCACTCATATGAACCATTTTTCTGCTGCTGATGTCATCTTCCTGCCACAAAACGTGACTTCAATCCTTCAGCCAATGTTTAAGTGATGGTACAGACTTGAAAAGACAGATTTGCAGCAAAGAAGAGATGCTATTTTCTCAATAAAAGAAAAATCAGACACACTATATACATTTTTTAATGTACATTATCACTGAACAATTAATAAATTAAGTTATGCACTGTACCTACTATAATTATTAAATGTTCAATTTTATGAACTTTGATTTTATGAACTCCTCAATCCCAGTTAGTTCATAAAACAGGAATTGTATTGACTAGTACTGTAGATCATGGGACTTTACATTATAAGAATCTATCAGGAGATGGAGAAAATGGTTTGTTCTGGTTAAATTTTAGATGCAGAAAGATAAGGAAAAATACAGGTAACAATAGCCCTGGAATTATATTAGATACTTAAAGCATCATAATGTTATAAATACACAGCAGAGAATAGATGAGAGGGGAAACTGGATAATTAGATAAATAATTTTAGTTCAATACCAAATTTCTTCAGGGTGTTAACTGAATTTAAGCAGACAACAAATATAAATGCTAATGAGCTCTACAGTACTTTACAAGAGATGTCTTTTCCTGATAAACATGTCAGAACTCCTCAAAATCACACAGACGCTCTGGCATCTGCTGCAAAGAAGGTGGATCACCTGTGTATTCCAAGGAACACAGTAACCTCTCAAAAATCCCTCCTTGCAGGAGAACGGAACATATTTTGCAACGGAGTGTGAATATGTAACCCAGCATTCTTGTTCAATTTTGGTGGATATTAATCCGCCATTCCTGCTCTTCCCGCACATCCTTCAATCCTTTACTTTTCCTATCTCTTGAACTCACTTATCGCCTTTGTCTTTATAGTTTCCTAGCTTGTAACTTGGCTATCTCTACACTAGCTCTTTGTTGGTATAATTTACGTCACTGACGGGTGTGAAAAAAACACTCCTCTGAGTGACATAAGTTTCACTGACAGAAGCGCTGGGGTGGACAGAGCTATGTCGGCAGGAGATGCTCTCCCGCTGACATAGCTATCGCTGCTTGTTGGAGGTGATTTAATTATGTCAACAGGAGAGCTCTCTCCCATAAGCATAGAGTGGCTACATGAGCACTCTTACAGTGGCACAGCTCGCTCGTGTAGACATGGCCTTATTCTGTATTTTTCTTTTTTGAAAACTATTGTGGAACATTTGTCAGTTTACATCCAAATTTACCTTCTTCACACAAAGATTTCAGGTTACCTCACTTCCATTAATGTACTAAAGGATACCAGAAATACGGAATTGTGATGCTGTAGTCACAGGAAGTAATATTTACTCTGAAGCAACTGAAAACATTATTTTAGGCATTCTCAATTTTTATTTTGTGGCTTTTAAGTTTGGTCCTTTATTGTAAATTGTCTCTCACTTTGTTTTGTATGTTCAGAGACAAGACTTACAATGACTTCAGAAATAAGTGATGCCTTCTTATCAAGTATGTTACAGCAACAAGATTAATACAAGCACCACAACTTCTTGTCCCTTTTGACTACTCCACTCACCTGAGGAGCCTGTCTCTGCCATAGATTGCTTCCACCCAGTACACAGATTTTCCTCCATGGCCATCTAGAATTGTATCGACCCTGCGTGTCTTCAGGTTCCAGACATGGATCAGCCCATTGGAAGACCTGATAGAGGGAACGGATGGCATTTTCTGTGACAATCATGTAAAATTTGATAAGAAATGTTGCTATTCTTCCGCCTTCTCGGACTCTGAAGTATTATGTATGTACATAGGCTTCATTCAATGCACCAACCACTTACTGGGAATACATTTTGTTGTTTTTCCCAGCTATAATTTACTTAAAGTATATGTACTCTTAAAAAAAAAAAAAGGGGGGGTTGAAGGATGCTCATCTCTGTAACAGTTTCTGGTGGGAAATTTACTGAAAGGCTTCTACTCACCCAGAGAAGAGAATGGGGTAATCGGGTTCTTGGCCTCCACAATAAAAATGTAGAGTATGGACTTCAGCACTAGTACCCCGTAGAACAAACTGTGGGTCTGGAGGTGGAAGAGCCATACCAGCAATAATCTAGAGACACCTTTTCAAGGAGAGAAATCAAAGAAAAGCACAAGATTTTCTGAATCACAGTGCTAAGAAGCACATATTATGAATAACAGAACTGCAACTGTGCTCTGCATCAAACATTTGCTTCGCTTAAGAGTCTATACTTTCCCCTTAGAGCTAGCATTATGTTGAGGTTATTCGCCATCTAATCCAAACTAAAATGTTCCCTCTTACACTAGGGAATCAAACATCTATCAAATCTGCTTCTCATTGCTATCCATCCATGCTAAACTATGAGAAGTGCTGAGTCTGCTACATGAATATGCACCCATCATATATTTGAATATACAAATGTGTTCAGCTATTCTCCATGCTGCAAACTGGACTGACAAGTGACAGCTACAAAATGCAAGGAATTGGACACACAAATTTAGTGGAGCAAGCACATTTATCATTCCAGTTAGGCCCTTGGCAAATTCTTTCCCCTTCCTTCCAAAATAATCCTTTCACTATGCTCTCTGGCAATGGAATATACATCCAATGAAAAAGATTTCAGGTAAGATTAAAGCAATAATCATTTTTACACCAGAGTTTCATTACTCCCAAGTGCTCCAACATTTGGTTCCAGGTATGGTTATATAAATAAAAACCAAAGCAGCATTTTTTTAACGTTATGACCACACTATGTTAAATATTGCATTCAGAGGGGGTTGTGTTCTTCCCAGGATCAGGAAATGGATATAGATCTTTTCGCCTGTAGGCTCTGGTTCAAATATGGCCCAGCATCAGTAGTAATCAAAAATTATCATTTGATGACTGGGCTGGGGGACTATGTAAACCAAGTGGTTGATCACAGGCTGAGATTCAACAGCGCTCTTAAGCATGTGCATAAAACTTTAAGTACTTGAGTAATCCTGTTGAATTCAAAAGAGCTACTCATATGACCCCGTTAGGCACATTCTTAAGTGCTTGGATGGATCCAGGCCTTAGGAAAACATGTTCACAGCACAAAAATGCCCATCAAAATGAACACCTATGTAGACAATTTTTGCAAAGATGATAAAGACTGGATGGCAATGAAGACTGAATAATACTTCAACTTGCTAGAGAGGATCCTCCAGAACAATGCTGAGGCATAGCTATTAATTTAGCAGCCTTTATGAGCTCTAAATTCACTTTAAATTTATTTGGAAAATGACACAGTAGTGAGCATTATAAGCAGGTTTTTACCAATAGTCCTTTCTGGGTGAAATGAGTGGCCACGCCCCATATATCTGACATTTCTATCTCTTACTTTATTGCCTGTGTTCACATTAAGAAATGAGTAGATTGAAAAGTAAGGGGGGAGGGGCTGTCATGATGGATGTCAATCATCACAACTCTTTCAAAAAGCCGTTTACTAATGGGTTCCACCAGCCCAAAGAATCATTTTCTAAGTTAAATAAGTGAAGGTCAACTGGCTTCTTTCTCCCAGGTGGGTCACAGAAGAGGAGTCACAGAGAATCCTAACACAGAAGTAAAACTAAGCATTACATGGACAAGTAAAACATTTCCGTTTTTAAGTAGACACTCATGATGCATCCCTGTCAGACTTTGACTCTTCCTTTATTAAATGGATCCATTGAGTACTGCACCTCAGTTGAGATGAGAGAGATTTAATTTTATCTTTGTTATTTATATAACAGTGATCGCCACGGTATCTGTAATTCCTAATTAAACAAATATTTTAGGTCTAGTCATGAAACAGGCATTTACAATCTAACATCTCTCTCTTCCTCAACAGTACTGTACACTAAGCTACAAAAATAATGAGCTCAGCGTATAACTTCCATGTTTTAATGCACTGATTCATCCGTTTTATGATGCTGTCTGATGATCCAGACTCATGACAAGCCTGGAATAAATTTTCAGATGATTACACGCTTGTACAAGGTTGTTCCCCATGGTGAGATTCAACCCTTCAGTGCCTATCTGTAACGTACTTCATCCTTATTATGAGGCTGTCCGTTACAATAAGCACTTTGTCATTGAAGGTCACTTGATTGGAGCTCCATAACTGTATCCAAAACCATTCTAATCACCCTCAAAGTGACAATTTGTCTTTGGAATCCTCTGAACATTTAATGTAGCTAACACAGAGCATGTTATAGGGAGGTGTCCCTTTTTATGAAAGGAATGATTCCAAAGTATAGTTCCAAGAGAGGGAGGGAGACAAAATGGAAATGAGTCAGCCCAGAGGCTATCAGGGATTACGAGGCAGGATTTAATAGCATTTTTCTAATTACCAACACAAAAGTTTTGCTGACAGACTGTGTGTGCCTGGATGTGAGGAGGGTTTTAGCTGGCATGAAACAGACGCTCCTAATGCATGTCTTTACAAGGACAATACTGTAAAAAAATCCTCAAACTTGAATATAGAAAAAAATAATAGTAAACATACTTTATTCACTTACGGATTCAAAGTAAATTGTCAATCTTTGGAAATGGGATTTTGCTATTATATACATCAATCTGGAAACCTGGATTTAATAGTATATGGCTTTTAGCAATAGCCCATGTTGTGTTTTGCTACGGAATGAGGTATTTTCTACTATTAATTGCTACTGCTAAACCATCAGAGACTGCACAGCAAGAAAGACAGTGGTGCTTGATGAGAAGTGACAGCATAACCATTTTAAGTTTTCTACTGCTCTCTGCACTAGTTGTGACATAGCAGTTTGAGCAACAGTCCGGGAACAGGAACTCCTAAATTCTAATCCCACCTCTGTTGCTAATTCCCTCTGTGAACTTTGGCAAGTCACTTAAGGAGATTTTCAAAGGTATTTAGGTGCCTGAAGATGCAGATAGCTGCCTAGTGAGATTTTTCAAAAGCACCTAAGTGCCTATCTTCAAAATTTTCAAAAGTCCCTAAATGATTTAGGAGCCTAAGTCCCATTTTCAAAAGTGACTAACATTGATGTGAGACCACAATCAGGCCCCAGGGCTCTAAGCAGCAAAGTGAGACCCACGGAAGGAATTTATAATAAATGCTTTCAAAAAAGTTCTCTGTCCTAGACTATGTGCTTGACCCAGATGTTGTGAGCACTGGCTTCCAAGACAGGACATTGGAGGACATGAATTAAGTTTTGCTTATGACATTATTTGCTTGTAAAAGGACACCAGCCTTGAGAGATGCAACACCTCCTTGCTGTACTTTGGTCTTGTTATTTTAAATAGACAGCAATCCTATTCTTTTTTCTAGCTTTTCCTGTGCCGGTAACACTCTCCTCCTTCAGGGACCAAACTTTGCTCCAGAAATTATTTTGACAGGGCACAATACAAACCCCAGATATATTATGTTGATTACTCTTGATCCACCACCAATTGCATGCTGATTGGAAAATCCAGGTGTCCAAATCGATATTCCAGTTAGCAAATGACTGTGTACATCACACATTGTAAAGGGCTTTGCCATGCAAAACATGTTTCTACTAAAATTAGGAATTGTTTAATCTTATTCAAAAATGCAAAGTTACATAATTTTAGAGAACAAATTACCAATAACACCACCTATAAAACTCCACTTTGTTTAGCATGTAATTAAGGGAACTTTCCTTAAGTTATTTGAGTTTCCATGCAGTGAAAAATGCACTACTTCAGCATTTGATAAAAAAAAAAAGAAAAGAAAAGAAAAAAGTAGATCTTTCAATTAATAATAGTCATTTAAAAATGTAAATGTCAGAAAGATTACCTTGGAAAAATCTCACAGAGAATTAAAAACATTAACAGATTCCCACAGGAAAAATTTCAGCTGAATTCAACAACTCTCCTGTTCCCACTCCTGTCATTTGTATTTCCATCACACATCGAAGCAAAAACAAATTGCTAGTAAACTATCACCCAAGCACCCCCTTCCCCCACAACCCCACAATTAAATCTGAGATACAGACAGCTTGAGCAAAGACTAAAAAAGGCTTCCTATTCTATAGTCGTTTACAAAGTAGCAAAACGTTGGTGCTAAAGAGAGATTTTTCAGGTATGCCAGAGATAAATCTCTCTCGGCACGTCTGGCAAACTGACTCGGGACTCTAACTAGCAGGTGTGCAGATATAATTATGACTGCAAATTATTTGACACATCCAGGTGTGCTCATCATCAAATATATGAAATCCCTTTTATTTCTGGAAATTCCAAGCCTACCAGGTGCCAGCCTCCCAAAGAAGAGTAAGATTAAAGAATTAGTCAGTAACAATATGAATAACCTTTTTTCTTCCCTGTTCTCATGTATGAAAGCTCCTCTCCAGATTGCACTTCTGTCTTTTCCACTTGGGTCAAAGGGTAACTTTGCTCCTTTCATGATGATTTTTAAGACATGTTTCCCACATCTTGTAGCTAACTAACTAGATATGACTATATAGCATCTGCAGTCAATAAGAATATACAGTGTGTAATTGCAAAGAAAACTGGTGGAAAGGGCAATTTTATTAAGTTAATAGTAAAAGGCACATAATCAATTTATATTACCTCGAACTCCAGTTTCAATTTTAAAATATGGTAGGTAGCCCTTACAGTATGAGCTTTCTAAAGGGCCCATAAGGCCAATCTTGTCCAGGCTTTCTGCCTATAAATCATAACAGACAGTTGAGCTCTCATGGTGGGGCAGTCTCCCCTTCTGCCCCCAGCAGTATCCATACTGCATGGCTGCATTTAAAGATTGTGGGCCTCCCCCAACTCAGCTGGCTACCACTTTACTGGTTGGCTGTATGATCCATTTGAGCAGCCAGGCTGGATCAACAGAGACCCAATAGTCACCTGGATTGGCCTTCCTTTAAATCTACTTTACTTGAAATTGCCAAAACACAGTGGAACTTGCACATACCTCAGACAACAGTAGTTGGGGCAAATGCTATATGGACATGTGGCATTTCTAGCAGGCAAAGGATCAAAGTCCAGGATTACAAGTACCCATTTTATCCAAACGTAACTAAAATACGGATGGTCTGGCAGCTTCCAGATACATCTGCAGAAAGCAACTGAACTGCTTATTTCAGAGTATTTGAACTCAAAGATGGGTATTTGAAGTTTACTGCATACTAAGAAAATGTACTCTAAAAGCAGGTTAAGTATTTGTAACACACATATGCCCGCCAGCCTTTTGTGGTAAATTTTCAGCCCACTGCCTTTGAGTTTGACTCTGCAAATCCTATAAGCTTTACATAAAAAACATAGAAGTAGGGAAGAACATTTAAATGGGAGAAGTATCTGAGCAACAGGATGTTTAGTTTGTACTCCATCATAAGCTAAAAATGTACCAAGACTTTCTCCCCCCCGCTTCCCCAACCAAATGAACCAACTTGGAATTCAATTAGCCTACAAGGAACAGGAGCTTACATTCTCGTCCTGGACCTCATCTGTACACATCACAACTTCACCACATAATTTGATATAATTGTCAATCTTTCCTCAAGTAAAACACAGGAGAGAAACTGCACAGTATGCTGAGGTCAGAACTGAGGCACACTGGTAGAACTGGGGGGAGGAGTGAAGCTTGCCTGCATGTGACACGTGACTTGCTTTTAGACATGTGAGCACTATGTTAACTTTTGAAAAATATGCCAAGAAAACATGAATGTGACAATTAAGCTTTTTCCTTTATAGGTCTGTTTGATATCTTTCTTGCTATACTACTAATACTATAATAATACTAATTCTATATATCGTGCTTTAGTGTTTATGTTTAAAAAGCTAATTAAGTAAATATAATGGGTTTCAAATAGAATGATTTGACACATAAAACATACAAATGAAAGAGTCATTCCTTTTAGCAATGTGTATATCCAGTGCTTTACATTAGCATTATTAGCTAATTACTTTGTATATTTATTCTTTACCTACGTTCATCCTCAGACATTAGTGTCAAAGTAGGAATTAAGCAACGACGTTGTTCCTTAAAAGATTTGTGTTACAAACAAAGCAAAAATAAAACCCTGGCAATGGACTGGAAGCATGCACTAGTGTGAACTGAAATATGAACAAAAAATAACATAACCAAGAGGTTTCCATACTGACATAACATTGTTGCTTTTGAAAATTTAAATTTGGAGACATAACAGCATCAAACAGAACTTGCTGATTTATATGACCAAGCTATACAATACTGTATTAGCAGATACCACTAACCTGTTGCCACACATCCTATATTACAACTGACTAAAGGCCTGGATTTTTACAGGTTGGGAAGTCAGTGCTGCCAGAGCTTTCATTCTCCCTGGCCACAAAATAGTTGTTAATGACCAGTAACGACTGACTGCTCAGAAGAATACTTCAAAACAATAAGTCTAATCCTGAGAGATGCAAAGTAGCTCCCTCTGCCACTGAAGTAAACAGGAGGTTAGGAGTGAAACCACCTTCAGGATCTGCCCCAAAGTTAACTTCTTTCCTGACCCCATGTAGGGAACAATGGAGGTTTCCACATTTCACTGTATAAACCAATAAATGGTTAGGGAGCAAACTGATTTGTTTATCAGCCACTGGTGCAAATATATGCCAAGAAATCCAATCAAAGCAGGAAAAAAAATGGCTACTAATAGCAATACAATGTGATTTTTTTCAATAATTTCCAGTCAGAGAATGACTAGTTACACAGTTTCAACACCTTTTCTCCTCTAACTAGTCATCATCTAACTGACAGAAAACAAAACACAATACACTTATGTCTTTAAATAATTAAGTTTGTAAGGAAAATGCATACAAATGTCAACATACGATGTTCAGAAATATTTGGGATTTGAGCTGGTATCTTGAGGATCACTTCCAAATACTTCCATCTGAAATTAAAAAAAAATCACTATAATTATTTTCTATCTGAAAACATAGATTCAGCATGGGAACAAAACTAAGAACACTGAGTTAGCATATGGATCTCATTGCCCCTATACATTTTAGTCACTGAAACAAAAAGCTATTAATCAATATGTAAAAGCCATAAATTAACATAAACATTAATCATTCTAATACTCCTGGCGTGTCAGAATGATAATTTTTTTTCAGTCTTTCATTTTGACATACTCGCCTTTAGCTATCAGCTGGCTGACCTTTCTTAACACAGTTAAACATTTTCGGCATTGAAAATCTCACTGAAATAAACATTTTTGAGAAAGCCAAATATCATGGCTACACTTATCCCATTGCACTTGTTTTTAATATGTCAGGCTAAAATACAGCATGAAAACACAGCTGAAATTGATGAAATTTTAGTGTTTCATAAACAGGTTCATTGCCCAGCTTAAGGAAAAAGAACCCCATCTGTTTTGCTTTATGAAGCCATTAATTGCCCAGTAAAGTGCAATGATAAAACTACGGAAAGCCTTGTTTTAGGAGAAAGAAATCTGACACAAAGTACACAGTAGTTTAACTCCAAAACAGACTCCCCATATGGCTAATGCAAAAAGATATAGGACATCTAATGCCAAATCTCCTTGAAAAATTAAAGAATGTGAAAATGCACAAAATAAATGAAAAAAAGGCTTCACACAATTGTCTCTGTATAACACAACATTCAGGCTTAAAGTTGAATTCAAGTTTGCACACTTGATAAATCATTGCAATCTAGCAGAAAATTGATAAGCCAAGGGCCATCAAAAGGCTGTTTTGAGTAGCCTTTCAGTTCAGCCATGCATAGCAATCTGTCAGCAACAGAGATCTGTCTACCCAGCCTCCTAAATTAGGGGTGCTCCCAACTTCAGCATCGGGCATGAATCTCTTGCTTCCAACAGCAATAACTAGTTAATACTGTCCTCAGACTGCAAAGATTTAATTAAACACCTTCCAGACATTTTAGCAGACATTTCCTGAAATACTCTTGTTTAGTAGCAAACTATTAAAAAAACCAACAACTGACAGAAGAAATATATCAAGTTCTTACAGCAACTGAAATTAATCCGGCCAAACTTACATGTCTGCAATTAAGGATTCCGTAATTCTGAGCAATTAAAATATATACTTTATTAGAAAACTAATTAATTCTAGACACATATTTTTCCCATGACAAACTTTTATGATTACTTGATTTATTCCCTTATAATTACTATTTAATTAATCTAGCCTTGTATAATATTATACTATTTTTCTGGCACTCGACCAATAAAGACAGTAAATTGATTGCGGTTCCATTGTGCAACAGCAGACTCTGTAATGCCAGTTTCAACACCATGCTTATTTATTTGTCTGTTCTATTACTTTTCTTTTCCTCCCACAGGGCACATGAACATGAAACACAATACGCACCGGATAACTTTTTGTGTTCTATAGATTTTCTCCCTCTAAATGTGAAATATAACATATAACTTGTTTTAATTCAATATCAATGCATACGTAATATGATACTATATAATAAAAATACAGCTCTTAAGAAATGACGTTACAGGTCTAACATATATTACACAAAATAGCTAGTCAATTGACTATTGACATACAGGGCCGGGCCCTCAGCTAGAGTAAATTGGGTTAATTCTATTGATCGCCAGTTCCAGCACAGGAGATTGTCCCATGATATCTGACAATAGGGGAGGACGGGTCAAATAAAATCTTTCATACTAATTTACAAAGTTCGTACATAATACTACATTTGTTTTAATGTCTCTGTCAGTTTTACCCGAATTAAACTTTTACAGTGTAAATTTAGCCTCCATTAAAAAAATTGAGTGACACAAGTTTCAACCAAAATAAAAAACCCTCTCACACCTCACTTTATAAATAATTATTTCTGGAGGAATGGTATCTGTTTGTACTAAACAATGTTACAACACAAACATACTTAAATATTTCCAATAGAAGTAACAGTGGCATTTTTGTTCTCGTCTTTACCACTTTAGAGGTAAAAACTATCCATTAAAAAACCCCACAAGCCACTGCTCACCCTTTACTGTTAGGAGGCCTTAAACTTCCTTCAGCATACCCTTTCCTGAAATCCTAGCACTGGCTGTCACCCCAAAGTTGGCACCCCATCTCTGTGTGTATTTTTTTCAGGAAGAGGAACTGAGAAGGGATTCATTTTAAACATATATGGAAGCAACATGATACTTCATATTCTTTTAAATCTTTTGAATCAGTTATTGGATTTTATGCTATTTTTTCTGCTACAAAATATACAACATTGACCACAGATACCACTTATCCAAAATGATCCTAATTCTAGAGCAGTGGTTCCCAAACTTTAACAACCTGTGAACCCCTTTCACTAAAATGTCACGTCTCACGAACCCCCTCCTAAAAATGAATATTTCCAGGGATTTTCTCCTTTACCTGAGTATAAATTATAAAAGCAGTGATCTTGGAAATATAAAATTTGTTTTTATGACATGCTTATTACACACTATTTACTATTAATTATTATTATTTATCATTACAGTATTTTTATTATATTATGAAAACAGCAACATTCTTCCAAGATCTCACTTTCGTAGCTTGTATCACTTTGAATAAGCCTGTTATAAGACAAGGCTCCTATGTTTCATCAAGGAGTATCAGATGTGAAACAGCATGAAGGTATTTAAGAAGCCAATTCAAAGAGTTCCTCCTACACAAACATTCAGGTCTTGAGTAGTCCAGGCAAACAACTTGTTCTTCATAATAATTTAAAAAACAATACTAGCTGCCTATTTAATTTTAAAAACAGCAAAAAATATCCACCTCCCTTTCCATTTCTTATAAGGAGTCTTGAAGTTTAAATCTCCTCAGTGTGATAGATATGCTTGCTTTGATATGCTTAGCTCTTGGAAGTCCAAGGGCTCTGGGCTTCTGGCCCCGTGCTGCCCAGGATCCCTAGGGACAGCTCTGTCCGCCATTAGGGAATTTTTTCCCCGAGAACCCCCTGTAACATTTCGTGAACCCCCAGGGGTTCACAAACCCCAATTTGGGAACCACTGTTCTAGAGGGAACAAGTTATTTCATTGTGCACTGTAAGAAACTGTACCCAAACTATCTCCTGGTTGAGCTCTCCGAAAAGGCTCCCAAAATATTTTCTTTTATCCTTGTTTCCCCATTTTCTAAAACAGCACTGACAAAATACAAAATCATTGGAAAAGGCAGAGAGGAAGGAAAGTATTTTTATGGTTAAATTGAGCAAGAAATCCTATAAGCATTGCCACATTTCAGGATACATTTACAACAGAATATTGTATTTACTTTTTTCACATGGTTTCTGTTTTTAAGATTTATTTTATAGATATGTTTCAGACAACAACTGTTTAAAAAAAACCCCCCTATGTCACAAATAGTCAAAGTAAGCAAATAGTAAATCAGCTATTTTAGTTCCTGCTTGTTTTCATAGTCCATATTTTTGACCCAGTCCTGCAAATCCTTACTCACTTGAGCAATCCCTTTGAAGTTAGTGAGGTTTGCAGAATTAGGCCCTTAAATCAAAATATTAATTATTTATGGATATTACTGCACCCATAGAGATTAAATTCATTCCTTCTTTAGAATCTTTATGTTTGTTAACTAAGCCACCCTACTGCTGTGAGGCAAGTATTATTATACATCATTTTACAGAGAAACTGAGGCAGAGAGGCTAAGTGATTTGCCCATGGTAACAGAGAGCCACTGAAAGTGCCAGGATCAGCATAGGATTTATGGTCTCCCAGATCTGTGCTCAAAACCCTCTGTAAGCACAATGAAAGTGAACTCACTAAAAGTTTGCTAAGAAAAGAGAAGTCTTCAAATTGTATAATAAGGTTGTGTGATGTTCTTTTACTCTATATTAATTCACTAGGTCAAAACTTGCAAGCTTTATTAGGCAGAAGTCCCACTGGTGTCAGTGGGAGTTTTGCCTGAATAAGGACTGTAGAATATGGTCCATAATCTTTACTATTTCAAGAATCAATTTTTTATTTTTTTTTAAAAAGGCCCAATGTCATGTATATCAACCATTTCAAATTTAGGATTCAGAGAAGCAGATTAAAATGCATTTTTCTGCTATGTGTCTCACTAAAATTCAACATTAATTGGTATCAGCGCCTCCTTTTTGTCCACTGCGATTCCCATCAGATACAATATATGTAGATGTTATTTGGATAAGTCAAGTTATCAGATGGCAAAGTAGTCCAAGAAATGTGACAAGAATGCACCGTAATTCAGGTGCAAACAGGAATGACATTTACAGGGTAAATATTACCTGATCATCAAATACAACAAATGTTTATTTTAACTGATTAGCCTAATCTTAGATTTTAGATACAAAACCACAATTGTTCTTCCATGTGAATTTGATCACATAATTCTAGATCCATTTTCCATGACCACGTAGGATGCAGTTGTTAAATATACTTATTTTGAGAGAGAAGTAGGGTGAGGTAATATCTTTAAATATTTAATATCTTTGGTAATATCTGAAGAAGAGCTCTGTGCAGCTCAAAAGCTTGTCTCTTCCACCAACAAAAAGTTGATCCATTAAAAGATATTACCTCACCTATCTGATCTCTCTCATATTCTGGTAGCAACATAGCTATAACAACGCTGCAATATTTATTTTCAACATTCCTGAGATAACAATATCAAACAGGCAAATAGTCAAAATGTGAAGGATATTAATAAAAAGTGAGTGAACAACTGCAACACCAGTTCAATAATTCTTCAATGACCTTCATACTAGAATTTCTACTATTGAACCTTACAGATGCCTGGAACATTCTGATCAGTTAGCTCTTCAATATTTTTAAGGGGTCATATCTTACATTAGCTGTTTATTTCTCTCTACTTGCTAAACCAAAAGTTCCTGAAGACAGTTAACATGTTTACTTATTTAAAGCTTCAGTCCCTTTGTCCAGTA